ATCTGGTGGAGAGAAGGGGACCATCGAGCAGAAGCCCCAGCAGTGTTAAAAATTCTGGGTTTGGGCTTGGGTTGGGAAACATCACCCATGTTTGCTGGGGCTGAGCATCAGGCTGGCCTTTGCTTCTGCAAAGAACAAGGAGCGCAGAGGGACAGGCATTTATGGGATGGAGAGAGGAAAATTTGGGGAGACCATCAAGAGAGTGGCCGTAGCATCGTACTGACCCTATGGACCTGCCAAGCTCCACGTTGCTGCTCCAAGACCGTGTCCCACACAAGGAGTTGGTCACATTTCCACTTGTCCAGTGCTAGGAATTTGTGCTTTTTACAGGGAATGTTTCAGTTAAATCCTGTTTTCCCTCTGGAAAAGCTCCCGACCCTCTTTGCACCGGAGGCGGAGCCGTAGCCCTGCGTGTTGCCGGCTGAAATTTCATTAAAATCAGATTAATTATCTGACAAGGGTTTTGCAGGTGGGGAGGTTTTCACCGAGGAGATCCCAGCGCTGTGGTGAGCACAGCACGGCAGAGGCTGAGCCAGGGGCTGGGCTGGGGCTGGCAACGAGTGGTTTGGGTCTGGTTTTAATCATCGTATTTATTATATAGTGGTTAATGAGTTGCTGGCTGCTCCTGCGACTTGCTTTGCATAACAGGATCACCAGGAAGGGACCTGAGGGAGGCAATGTTGGGTGAGGGTAAGAGAGAAACCTTGATGAAGGAAGGTCCCTGCATCCACCATGGGGTTTGGTTTGGGGTTTCTCTGCTGGTGAGGTGCAAAAAGGGCAACCATGGTGAGAAATTGTGGGATCCAAAGGAAGGAAAGGATGAGCTCGCTCTTCAAAGCCAGGTTGACTGGTGCACCAGCTCCTCAGCTCTGGATTTTCAAGAGATACCTGGGTTTGTGGGAGGTTGACCTTCCCTGGTCAGGGCCGTAGGGACTTCCCAATCCACACACGGTGGGAAAGGAGCTGCTGGAAGTGCTGGCCCAAGGCTGATGACTCCACTCAGATGACCTTTAACTGCTTGGGATTGAGAGTTAGGAGGAAGGAACAAATAGCTCTCCAGGGGCGGTAGCTATTTACATAGATGTAAATGACTTGGACCTTGTAACGCAACTGGCTTCCTCCCTCCGCAGCCCTGGACGGACGAGTGGAACGTTTGATAACGAGGTTGTGATGATGAACCATGTCTACAAGGAGCGGTTCCCCAAGGTAACTGCTGGGACTGGAGAGGACAAACATGTTGGTCCCTCTGCAGCGCCCTGGCAGTGTCTTCTTCAGCACAACCTCTCCTCCGTGCTGGAATATAAAATGCATGGGTAGATACTGGGAGGAGGGTATTGAGGACACTGGGAAAGTGGTAATGAACCAAGGAGGTAGGGACCTGCAGGTGTGCATCACCACACATGCAGGCAATGGTCTCTGGAGACTTTGGTGGAGCTTTTCCAGCCTTGGAAGCTGGATCCCAGGTGGGGCCATGATGTGCATATGGCTGTTGGAGCTGCAGGAGGTGGTAGCATGAGATCCTGGCTGGCCAAACCCAACACATGGTATGGGGACACGTGTTCCCAGGCACGACCATCCATTCTGCCTTGCAGGCCACAGCCCAAATGGAAGAGCGTCTGCAGGACACCATCACAAACTTCTCTCCAAGCAGCACTCTGCCGCTGGCAGACGGGGTGCTGGGCTTCATCCACCACCAGATCATCGAGCTGGCTCGTGACTGCCTGGCGAAGTCCCAGGGAGCTCTCATCACCTCCCGCTACTTCATGGAGCTGCAGGAGAAACTTGAGAAGATGCTCCGAGATGTGAGTACAGGGCAATTCCCTGCCTGGTGCCATCTCCTGAGGCCACCGATAGACACCTGGCTTCTCTCCTGCAGGCTCAGGAGCGTTCGGAGAGTGAGGAGGTGAAGTTCATTGACCAACTGGTGAGGAAGCTGCTGATCATCATCTCCCGTCCTGCTCGCCTTCTGGAGTGCCTGGTAAGACACTGCAGCTCCTGATGCTTCTTGTCTTTCATGGTCTGTGCCTGCTTGGAGAGGAGGCAAAGACTTTATCTTTGTCCATCAAGGCTTAGAGGAAAGGCTTAACTCTGCAAGGTCTTGCTCCTCAACTGTGTTTGGTTTTCCCCATCCAGGAGTTTGACCCAGAAGAGTTTTACCACCTCCTGGAAGCTGCAGAAGGACACGCCAAAGTTGGCCAGGGAATAAAGACCGATATTCCCCGATACATCATCAGTCAACTGGGTCTCGTCAAGGACCCACTGGAGGGTAGGGAACCGCTTGGGTTTGTGGCCCCGAGGTCTGCGGTGGGATGTGGACTCCTAGTTTGGCCACTGGCGAGCATGAATGAGCACACTCCCCTCACTAGGAGGTGGCAGGGGCACCGACAGGACTGAGCTGGTGTCATGGGGTGGGTCACAGCAGGACCAGGATGGTGTCCACGTCCAGCCCCACATCCCTCCTTATTGCTCCCAACACGTTCATCAAAGTAGATTAAGCTCAAGAACGCTTAATCCATAGGAAGCCACGGCCCCGGCGGGGGGGGACCATAATCCCCAAAGAACACGGGAATGACTATGGAAAAAAGAGAATTATGTAAATGTTTAGCCTCGTGTTGAACCTCTTAACGCCGTGACCTGAATTTCTCCATACGATAGTGCGAGCAAAGCGCTAAATCCCTGCGGGATCTCCGAGTTGGGAGGGAGAGTGGTTGGTGGGGCCGGTATTTTGGTGGGGGTTGAGCATGAAAAGGTGAAAAAGATGCCTGTCTTCTACAGAAATGGTCCAGCTGGATCACTTTGACAGCGGGAACACCATCACGCCGGAGAACGATGATGCCTGTGAGGTGAGCATGGTCCTACCTGTGTGTCCCACCTCCTGCCTCTGACTTTGTCCTGCCTCACCCCACACCAAAGCTCCTCGCAGCAGCTCCTCTGCTGTCTTAGGCTGAGAGAGGTTAATTTGGGTTGTCCCCAAGAGTGGCTGCTGTGTTCAGGTGTAATATCTCATGGTCCCCCATCTCACCTCTTAAGCGGACAGAGCTGAGAGTGGACTTTTGATCTGCAGAACATCTTGGCCTTCTGGTTTGGGGTTTGTGTCTGGAGAGGGCTCAGGAAGGGATGTCCTCTGGCAGTGAGGAGCAATCAGGAGTGATACATGATGGTGCTTGGTGAATTCCTGCCTGCACTCAGAGTGCTGGCCTGCCAGGAAATGTTAAAAACCTTCTGTGTCTTCTTCAGAGCCAGCCTTTGACCACCGCTCCTCGGAGGAAGCCCTGTGAGGGGGACTTTGAGACCATCAAGCTGATCAGCAACGGGGCTTACGGGTGAGTTGGGAAATTCCTAACACTTGTCTCCATCCGTAACCTTCTCCAAAGTCCTCCCCATCTTAGGCCCGAGGTGCTGCGTGGTTGGTCCTGGTGGTTGGAGGACACATTTTGAGGTCCAGCCTCTCCTCTAGGGCCGTGTACCTGGTGAGGCACAGGGAGACGCGGCAGCGCTTTGCCTTGAAGAAAATCAACAAGCAGAACCTCATCCTGAGGAACCAGATCCAGCAGGTGTTTGTGGAGAGGGACATCCTCACCTTCGCGGAGAACCCCTTTGTGGTCAGCATGTTCTGCTCCTTCGAGACCAAGCGACACCTCTGCATGGTGATGGAGTACGTGGAAGGTGAGAATGGGATTCAGAGCTGGAGGGAGGTGGGAGATTATCAATGTCTGAGCATTGAGGGCACCACCTGGACATCTCATGATGCTCTTCTCTGAGCCCCCCATGCTCAGGAGGACCCATGTCCCCACAGGGGGCGATTGTGCCACATTGCTGAAGAACATGGGCCCACTGCCTGTTGACATGGCGAAGATGTACTTCGCTGAGACCGTTCTGGCACTGGAGTATCTCCACAACTACGGCATTGTCCACCGGGACCTCAAACCCGACAAGTGAGGATGTGGGTCAGGTCTGAGCAAGGACAAGGTTGGGTTTGGATGGGGAAGGGAGAGGGACTGATCCAAGCCAAGAGGATAAGGCAGAATGAGGTCATGGGTTTTGGTGCCCAAAGACCTGCTTCTGTGCTGTTGCAACCAGGCCCAGAGGTCTTGGGGTCCTGCTGGTCCTGGTCAGGTCTCCCTAGAAGCAAATGGCCTCGTTGCAAGGCGTCTGTCTTCTCTTGCAGTTTACTCATCACCTCCATGGGCCACATAAAGCTGACAGACTTCGGTCTGTCAAAGATTGGCTTGATGAACATGACCACAAACCTCTACGAAGGTCACATGGAGAAGGACACTCGGGAGTTCATGGACAAGCAGGTACGAGATCCTGTCCTGCTTGACCGATCTGCCATCACTGGGGACCCGGGTAGCCTCAGGACCTGTTGCAGAGGTCGTTGCAGAGGTGTCAGCCGCTGCGTCCCACGCAGGTGTGTGGCACTCCGGAGTACATCGCCCCAGAAGTCATCCTCATACAAGGCTACGGGAAGCCTGTCGACTGGTGGGCCATGGGCATCATCCTCTATGAGTTCCTGGTGGGCTGCGTCCCCTTCTTCGGAGACACTCCCGAGGAGCTCTTTGGGCAGGTCATCAGTGGTGAGTGTCATCAACTTTGCTCCTCAGTTCACACTTCCCAGCAGTCATGGCTTGTCCTTAACACACGGAGAGCTTCATTCCATCATTTCATACTCGGTTGCACGGCGAGAAGGCTCCTCAAGCTTTGATTTCCCGGTTTGGAAGGATGCTTTCATCTTCTGCAGCTCCTGAGGGACTTTCCTCTTGCCCAGAAATGACTTTTCCTGTGACCTCATGTCATCGCAGCCCCTATTGTGTCCAAACTCTTCCACCCGCTCCAAACTCCTTTTCCTTTTTCCTTGCAGATGAAATTATGTGGCCGGAAGGGGACGAGGCTCTTCCTGCGGACGCCCAGGACCTCATCACGCGGTTGCTGAGACAGAGTCCCCTCGAGCGCTTGGGCACTGGTACGTGGCGGGGGGGCAGCCCCCCTAATTCACCAAATTCACCAAATTCAGCCGTTTGCTGGAACCACGGCGTTGTCCTGCCGCGCTGAGGGTGCTCGGAGGAGGTCCTCAGCTCGGGATTCAACCCGGGAAGGCCGTGCAGGGCTCTGGTCCATCCTCCCTTTTCTCTGCACGGAGGAGGGACCGTGCCATTTGGGGTGGGAGCAGGAGCAGCCCAGATCCTGCCCTGTCCCCCCCAACCTTGACGTGGGGTTTTTCTGCCTGGCAGGGGGTGCACACGAGGTGAAGCACCATTCCTTCTTCCTCCACCTGGACTGGAACGGGCTGCTGCGGCAGAAGGCCGAGTTCATCCCCCAGCTGGAGTCGGAGGACGACACCAGTTACTTCGACAGTGAGGCCAAATCCATCCCCATCCCTCCCTCCAACCCCCTCCCCAATCCCATATCCCATCTGGATGATCCCATGGGAAA